TACTTACTGATTCGTTAACTATTATTTTTTAAATTAAAAAAAAATTTTCAAGTTAGATTTCTTGTTATAAGTATATACAAAATTAAAACAATAAGCCAACTTCATAGGCATGATGTTTTTTGAGTTTGCTTTATACCTTGTTTTAAGTTTGATTATAAAAAAATACTTACTTTTGTAATTCGCTAAACTTGACCCCAAATGCAATTTCCTTTTTGAAAACCCTTGAAAAATAGGATTGAAAAAGTCCTACCATTGCAATTTTACTATGAAAATCGATTTTTTTATATGAGTGTCAATTACTCAAATCTTATATTAAAAAATTTACTTTGTGATTTGCATGACAAATCGTGTGACTGATATTGTAAACTATTATACTTTTTTTTAGTATAAAGATAAAACCATTTTTAAAGAATGGTGGAAAATACCGAAAGATATTCACGAAATAATCGCCCAAATTTCAGACAATTATAATTATGATAATAATTTGAACGAAAGTAGCAACAAAGAAGAAGATAATTATAATTCGGCTGATAGTAATATTGATGAGGAAAATGGTTCGGCCACTTCAAGTAAAGATATAGAAGATAATACAAGTGAGGAATCTGAAGATTTTTCTTTAATAGAATTTAACAGTTATGAAATAAAAAATAAAATCTCAAATGTAAGCTTACTACCATGTGCATTATTTTGAATTTTGGCCCGAATTAAGCTTAATTCAGGCCAAAATTCGAAATAATGCTCATGCCCACTATTTCAAGAATTTACTGTATGATATTTTGTTAAGCTATATTGAATAAATTAATCTTTATTTTACTAGCTCATAACGAAATATCCATATATGCCAACAATTACGAGAATAATCTGTGATAATATACAAAAACAAAATTTAAGTCTACGAGATCTACTTCCCAATGGAATTGTTAATTATTCGTTTTTACGATTATATAATTACATTTTTGAGCAAGACTGTTTTGAAGCTTTATTATGGAGTAAAGCTGAACAAAAACAATATAAAACGAATTTGACAAACGATGAAAAAAATTTCATATGCAATCACATTAAACATAGATACTATACCGCACCTAACAGTCGAGAGGACACCAAAAAGTTCTATAGTTACTTAGAGATGTTCTTGAGCCACCTGGAATATGCTTGAGAACTTCTATTATACAAGAAAAAATCTCCAAAAATCAATGAAAGTTCATATTCTTTTCAAGTAGTCAAGTCTATTTGCGACTTATTATTGTACAACATTAAAGGAATAAATATTGAATATAATGGTAATTATCATTTTTTTGCCAGTAAATTTTGCTAAAGACTTTAATTTTGATTTTTTTTTTTCTCCTATTGATTTATTAAACAATAAGGACCATCTGAATCTACACAAAATCGGAATAGAGGAAAATCCGGACCAACATGTCTTCCCGACTTAATGGTATCAAAGAGTTTTATGTTATCTAATTATAAATGGGAATTCATGTTTTGTGAAGTAAGTAATAGACTATACGCACTTGACTGCGACCATTATTGGGGAGATGAATTGCACCTCAGTAAATTTGCAAAAGATGCATGAAACAATGTATATCTATTTACGCAGGAAATCAATGCCGCTGATCAAATATTAAAGAATATGATAGATGAACTGTATTATGTTATGATACATTTTTATGGAACTAAAATGGACATATATATCTTAGATCGTAAAATGAAACTGTTTTATCTAATGTGTCTGGTAAAGTTATTAGATATACCACTCATAAACAGTAATGAACCAAAGACAATATAAATGTTAAACAAATTGTGTAAAGCAATAATAATGACAAACAAATTAATTGCTGATGTTGTCAAAAGAATTCATTCAATTAATCAATTGTTACTTGAAAAAGGCAGCCCTACCACCCCTCCAAACCTGGTAGACTGTGATAACCTATTTCCGACATTTATAACACCTGATAGTCCAATTTATTAAATTCGGGTAGGATAAATGATTTATAGATTCCATAGGATTCTATTATTATAAAATTTTACGTCAATCTGGTTTTTAACAATGATATTACATAATATCACTTCCTTGATACATATTTAGGTCAAAATTGTGAGACCGTAAATTAGGTTTTATTGTTAAAGCTATTTATACGACAATAATATATGATCTAGTAGTATGATTTAGTAGTATAATCTAGTAACTTTTTATAGTGATTTCTGGATTTGTGTTATGTGATACAAATGCTTAACAGACTTAGGTTTTCAGAAAGATATCTTTAGTTATAAAAATTACTAATAGTAATGCGAATTTATTGAAAATACAATCAGTTTAAAATCCTTATTAAAAGCTTTTAATTAGCAATCTACATAAGAATGATATAAGGAATTCTATGCCGTAAAATCCCGCTCATCCTATTTTTTTTTTTATCCAAATCAGAAATGATAGTATTATTATATGTCGCAGATCATAATGAAATCAGATTAAAATGAAACTGGGGACCTTTCTTGCTCATCTTTAAAGCTTATAAAACCCACTTA